CCCAGGTACACACGACCAAACGTGCCCTTGCCAATCAGCTGTCCCTTCATCCATTTGAACGTCGGCTGGCGTGACGGCATGCTGGATAGATGATCTTGGGGTATCGTCTCCATAACAAGACGCGATCCACGCTGTGGTCGAACTTGTTCCGTCCTCGCGTTGAACATCTTGGTAGATTTTCTCCTGATTATGTCACCACCATTGCGTAACGTAGCAACGCGTGATGGCCCTGGTCCGGCGGGTACATGGCCTGGCAAGTGTCTGTTCTCTAGTGGCTGATACTGCGACTTGACGACTTCACGAATAGACTTTGTGCGTCCCAAGCCAGCGCCTGACTTGCGCATGTTGCGCTGTGCAATCGACTGCAATCCAGCACCACCTCGGTGGAGAGTTGGATTCGAAGGAGTGGGGTCGGCTGGCAAAGGCTTGTTGTTTTCTGGTATGAACTCTGTGGACCCATCCGTCTCGGCCTCCTCAAGCATAGGCTGATCGAGATTGACGTTGGGAAAGAGCTCATCAAGATGGTCCACAAGGGTTTCAGCCGGTGGACGGTTAGCCCAAACATCACTAGCAAATGATTCACGGCGTGAAAACTTGTTCGTGTCGTCTGGCGAGTCGGTCCATGTTGTTGATGCGGCCGACTCAGGATGCCAATCGCTGGCCTGAGATTCGTGATCGCCCATTGCGCTTGGTTCTGCGGATTTTTCAGTCACCTGGGCTAGTGAGTTCTTTGATCTTTGCGTTTTGAGTCGGAGGTTCGGTCTCCGGCTACGAGAGTTGATTCTAGTAACAGGTGCGTCCTTTTCAGGTGGAGGAGGACCAGCTCGTCCGGCAAGTGGCGCTTGGAATAGTCCATCATCAGAATCATCATCGTCCGCATCCATTGGATCAAGGTTGGGCGACTTCGTAATAAAAGAGACTCGGGCTTCCTCAAAGTCATGGGTTGGGCCATATACCGATACTCTAGATGGCTCCCTGGTAAGGCTAGGTTCCGTAGATTGTGCGGTGTGAGGGCTTCGGCCTGGCGACCGAGATCGATCATCCCTTTGGTTGGGGCCTGCAAAATCCGGCACCAAAATGCTAAGGTCTGGCCGCTCGGTCGGGGAATCGGTACTGAAAGCTTCTTCATAGTCAGGAATTCTGAATGGTATGTTGCCTTTGCTCATGGTATATTCACCAGGGCTGCGGGGCGACCCACCTGGACTATTTCTACCGGAGCCGGTTCTGGCGCCGAAACCGTTCTCCTGCAGTACTTGTTGCGAGGGCCGGATGCCTTCTGGCGAGCTCTCGTCCTTTGGTGGGGGAAAGGGACCCTTGTTGGGTGCTCTGTTCGCGGCTCCAATACCAGCTCCTAGGTTGCCTGCTCCAATAATGGCAGCGGCAATGCCGCCAAGCCCACTTGCACCTTGAGGTATGGCTTTGCGTTTCTCAGGCTGGGATTCTGCTGAAAGGCGTTTTGTTTGGCCGTCGTCACTCTCCGGCCACGAAGTCCTACTCTTGTTCTTTGTCAACGAGTTAGCTTTCAAAAGTGTGCTGGTATCAGCTGGCACAGGCGGCGGTTCCCTCAAGGGTACGAGTTGCTTGCTCTTGCGCTGTTGGTCATCGAAGGGTTTCTTCAGATCCTCGTAAGGCGAAGCGCGTGGTTCGTCAAAGTCGATGACCCGCTGGCTTCGGTAGCTGATGCTGTCGCTGGTCGCAGAGTTCAGATCAGGGCTTTGCCCATTCATCTTGGGGAAACGAGTTTTGAGATACTCTTCTTGTTTCCGCTTCATCTCCCTTCGGTGTTCTTCTGCAGCTGCTTCTAGTAGCAGCTTACGGCGTTCCTCCTCAGACACATCGCCACGCGAATCCCAGAACTCGGGCGGCTTGCTGCTGCTACTACTGCTGCCTCCGTGCGACCTTTCGGCTGCATCACTGGGTAGAAGCTCATTTTTATCGGCCATTTTGCGTAGAGCTGCGCTCTTGTCTGCAACTAGCGTGGATTCTTCTGATTTGGCACCTGGCGAATCCAGCTGAGAATCGGCATTGAGACGCGAGTATGCGTTGTCATCAACCGTCCGGGCAGCAGCGTGAGGGAGCGAGACACCAAGCCCGGTTGACGACCCAACTGCTCCTTCTGGAGGTATTTTGACAAAGATCTTCAGCTCACCAAACCGGTTTCCGTATTGCGACCGAGCCTTGAGCAACTTGGAGTCGGAAAGCGGGCGATTGTGTTCATACTGGCCAGGAACGGTCAGGTGCAGTTCAATTCCGGGTACCTTGCTTAATCCTTGAATCAGCTCCTCACAACACAGTGTTCGTAATGAAGTCGCTGAATCGACGTTAGTGATGTCGAGAAGGCGATAGTTGTAGCCGTCTGGTGTGACAAAAGCAAACTTTCGATCTTCTTTGCCGTGAGTGCGGCCACGGCCAGCAGCACGGTTGTCGGAATCCGTCTGTGCAGAGCGTCTTGATGGAGGACGCTCGTTCAGAGATGTTTCACTCGAGTTCATAGTCGACTTCCCAAAAAGAGATCCGCTGGGGTGAGTGCGATGGCTGGCTGGGCTGGTCGGAGAATCTAAACTAGTATCGTCAGACGGGTGGCTGTCCTTCTTTCTTCCGCCCATGATCTTCTTGAAGAATCCTTTTTCGTGATCCTTGGCGCTAGTCGGAATGTCCATGAGAGCCGCGTTGGGCCGCGTGCCTTCCCACCCATTCTTCCGATTCTCACTGCGGCTTTCAGGACGGCCCTCGAAGGATCTACCAGAAGGCGGCCCTGAACCATTATTGGCAAAAGTAGAATTGATCGACTCAGCACTGTTGACGCGGTTGTGGGGCGAGTAGTAACGGGAGCCTTGGGTGGTCAGGCCCGCGCTCAGCTGTCCGCCGTTTGTAGCAAGGCGAGCAGATGGGAGACCTGGACTGTGCTGCGGGCTTGACTGACGGTGGGTTCCAGCGCCCAGTGACGATGGTCCGAATTCAGAAGACGTATTTGGGCTATGTCGTACTTGCTTGATGTCGAGACCTTGGAGAACCTCCCGCGAATAGGGACTGCGCGCAGGTCCTTCTGAAAAGTCCGGCGTGGGCCCCAGGCCGGGGACAGTGAAGTTGCGCTGCTGGGTGGAAATGCGCCTGGACGGATTAATACTCGCGCCAGGTGAATGCACGAGCAGTTGGCGCCCGGGGCTTTCCTCGCCATTGCCTGCAGTTGTTGGCGTTGAACCAAAGTCCATGCCGCGGGATCCAAGATAGGGCGAATTTTCCAGGGTGCCTTCTGTGCCTGCGCTTGTCATGCCTGTGTCAGACCGTTGGGGCGGAGGCCGATATGAGTTTGAAGCACCTGATTCCACAATGCCACGAACCAGTCTGCGGAGCTTGCGACCTTCATCACGCTCCCTGTTCTGATCCCACCCGGTCCCGCTTGCAGTGCACTGCTTGGCTAGCTGGGGAAAGATGACTTGGTGCATCATGGCCACATTTCCCTTGCTTCCGTGACCACGGCCAATGTCGAGAAATTTAGATCCTTCCAAGCCCAGGGTCCTAAACGTCTCTTGCCAGTCGCGGGAAAAGTTGTTGCTTGCCAGCCACTGCTGAACGCGCTCGGCGGGCCATTGCATGGAGGCATCGTGGGGGGATATTGGCGTGGTGCCGTTGCTCTCTGGGCGATAGTAGACGCTGCCATGGCTCTGGACCATGGGGTTCTGCAGGGTCGCTGTTGGAGGGCCAGGCGAGTCGTAGGCGTTTGTTCTGTCGGTAGGTATGTTGAGGTTATTGCGGACATTGGGTGTGGGAGGCATGTTGTAGCCATTGGAGCCATACTGGACGCTCTGGACGCTATCGAGGAGGCTGCTGGAAAAGGGCTGGGGCGGAGCTTCGGTGGTGGCCGAGTGGGAGTCGTCTCTGTAGTAGGGCTCCGAATAGCCTCTGGAGGTGTGTAACGGGGGGATGCCAACGCCGGGTCCAAACGACTCGCCGCCGGGTATGTAGGTGGCTGAGGTCAGAGGAGGCTCGCGCTCGACGGGAATCTGCTGGGGCGGGGGGCCTGGGGGAGGGGGTAGGTTGTGGGGATAGATGCGGTATTGGCCTGGATCGTAGCCCGGCTGCTGGTACTGGGGTCGTGGTGGTCCCCAGTTTGTCGAGTGCGGGGGAGGAGGAATGGGGATGCCGCCCAGGTTGTTGTAGCCCGTTGGCCGTGGCGGCGGCGGAGGCAGCGCAATGTGGCCGGCGGGCGTGCTCGAGGGCTGGGGAGGCGGGGGAGGAATGTACTGATGCATGGCGACGGGACCCTGGCGGTGATGGGCAGATCAGCGGCGGTATGCGCCCTTGCGCGCGCGCGCTGGCGGACGGGGTGTCTCTCTCTCTGTTGCAGAGGGGAGGAGCACACGATGTGTAGCCAGCGGTAGCAGCAGCAGCGACGACGACGACGACGACGAGGGTGAGGGCTCTAGCGAGGGTGGTGGGAGTGGTGGTGGTGGTGAGGATTGTCGTAGGCCGAGGCTGGCTAGTCCCCCAATGGCGTGGTAGGCGTGGGCGGGGAGGGTTTCAGGCTTGGTGCAGGTTGATGTGTGAGGTGAAGAGGTCGTTGGGCGGGATTGGCTGGCAGGCCTGGGTTGGCATGTCTCGAGGGCAGCAAACAGAGGGAAAGCAGTGGTGGGCTGGATGCGGGCGAGGGCCTGTCACATCATGACATGCCGCTGCCAACTGTAACGGAGTCGCGAGCCTTGGTTTGGGCTGCTGAGTCGGCGACGGGGCGTGGGTTTCGCACGCTCCTTTGTCGGTACCTTTTCTCAAGTATGCTGTCGATCCACGACGCGCGAGTGGGTCCGCCGCAGCTAGTAGCCTGCTTGCTGCAATGCAATACGCTGTACGGAATCGTCGCTGGTATCTTCTGTACATACATACATACATGCACACATGCGCACACACAGGCTCACGGGCGGACGGGCGGGCGGGCGAGAGCAAGGGAAGGGGGGGGGGAGTGATTGCAGCACAGGATGTAGTAGTATGTTGGAGTAGTAGGGATGGTGGGCGTCGTCCAGAGGCGCGAGAAGGGAATGACCCTGTGTGTGCTTGGCCGTCGCAACAAAGACGGGACGGCCGAATTGGCGGGTGCAGCGACGCGACAACAATGGGGCGCGCAAGACGGGCAGCGTAGGATGAAGCCAGAACAGAGCAGAGCAGAGCAGCGCAAGACAGCACAGCACAGGATGAGGGGCAGAGGCCTGTCTGCCAGTTCAGTCCAGTCCAGCCGCCGTGGCAGTGGAATGGTGAGCAGCAGCACGGCGGCGCCGGAGGCACGGGGCAGCCACCCACAAACGCACAGATCACCAGTGAATCTCGGATCACTATTTACCGCTAACCGCCGCGTAGCCGGCCTGTCAGCCGTTGTGCCTTTTGCTCATGCTCCCATACTACTACTACTACTACTACTACTACTACTACTACTACTAACCAACTACTGATGACTACAGTACTACACCTTGGCGGCTTCTGAACATGGCCTTCGTCAGCTCGGCAATCCCGTGCGTATACTACCATGCCTGCACAGGCACATAGCCGACATGCTTACTGTATCCTCTCCACCTACACACCTCCTCGTCCCTGTTTCATATCACGCGAGCACGTGGCGGTGCAACGCCTCCACCAGCCGCAATGGAGAGCAGAGGGCCCAAGTGCGTCACCGAGATAAAAGGTGGAAAGACACTTGCACTTGCATCCTTCTACCATCACCATTGTCCGGATATGTAGGTGCTCTGGTACCCGCCTGTCTAATTTGCTGTTGCTGCATGCACACCCACATCGGAGCCGCCGAACAACGTTGCAGCGACCACTTTTTTCTCGTATCGCATGCACACGAAAATGTCCCTCCGCACCTGCTCTGGCCTATCCTCGTCTCTCTACCCATCAACATGCAATTTACCCCTTCACCGCGCCAGCTGCTCTCTTCGCACCCACCCCGGTCTGTCGAGTCGGCCGGGGGTTCGGCAAATTCCACCGTCATTTGTACTTACGGTATGAGACACAAGAGGTCCATCAAAGTTTACGACCATTCGGAAGCCCAGGCTCAACTGCAAGCCTACGAGACCGTGCAATCGACCTGACAAACCTCAACCTGCTACTTCACCGCAACTTGTTTCCTGCCATGGTGCTGCCAGCCAGCTGTGCACAAGACCAGCTTTGCAACCATCTTACCCCAACTGGGAAACCCAACACCCGCGTTCCGGCAGGCTTCTGCATCGGCCAAATCTCTCTTGTATAAAGCTCAACCCACGCATCTGTATTCCGGCTTTGGCAAGCATCGGTACCTCTACGGCATGCTGGCGTTTAATCCGTCAGCTCCGACCCAGCTACTCTTCATCCCTCTCTCCGCGGAGAAGGCCTGAGCAATAAGAAACATTTCATCTCCAAGACATGTCATTGCGAAACACCATCTCAGACAGGGCATGCTTTGGAAGTACTCCAACACTCGTATTGCTGCTTTTAGGTCCCGCTTCAACGATCGTCGAAAGGTATGTCATCAGCATTCATGCGTCGCAGCGCCCTAGTACTCAACTCGCCACTGACGGCGTCGTCGTATGTGTCAAGTGTACCCAGACCGTCGCTGCAGTTGAGCCCCTTGTGTTACATTCGTAGAGAAAAAAAAACAAGCTTCTTTTTTCTTTTTGCAAAACGGACATGCAGTGATCGACAAGACGACCACACGTGCATGGCCCGATCCGAGCTGTCGGCCAAACCATGAGCTGGTATGATCTCACATGGCGTCACTCTGAGTGCTTCCTTGATTGACTCACATACGACCTGCTGCAACAGTAATGGAACTTGTCCATAGCAATAACTGCACGCACTGAAATATACCTAGATGGCCAAGCTAAAAACTCGGGGTTATATCGGATCTACCTACGTGAGCCTGGTACTAGATCTAACGCGGGCATCTGATCCCTTATCTTATCGATCCCAACATGCGCCCAACCAAATACCAATTCCGAATACACAGTGTGGAATTTCCAGATGACGTACTTGTAAATTGATTTTTCTACATATCAGCATCAAGTCACAGCTGTCCTGATAATAACCACAACCCAAACCTTTGCCTCGGAAAATAGTCTGCTGCTATGGGCGAAGTAAAGCCAAATAAGCCTATTGTTTTGAATGCCGACGACATCATCAGCACTGCTTCCGAGCGCTTCCCAGACCCCAGCGCTGGTGGCGACGTTACATGGAGAACATTAATCTCAACACCAAAGACGCGCACAAACACCTTTACCGTTGGCATTGCTACATGTGCTCCAGGCGTCTCAGCCGGGTGCCAAGGCCAGCTTAAGCCTCACCGTCACAAACAAGCGGAGATCTATCATGTCACCTCTGGTAAGGGGATAGTGACGATTGATGGGAACGAGTACGAAGTAGGCAAAGGGAGCGTGGTGTGGATACCAGGTGATGCTGAGCATGGGGTTCGGAATACCGGAGGAGAGGATTTGATATGGTTGTATGCCTTTGCTACAGATGGATTCGACGATGTTGTCTATCGGTTCAATGAGGGTGAACGCGGGCATGGTAAAGAAGTAGCAAACACCAGAGCGAAACTGTAACCGGCGCTGTTGAAGCGATGGTATATACTGCTTGTGAATATTCACACTTCCTACTATATTCCATTGGTTTTGACCCATCCCGCTAAATCTAAATCATTTACGCCTGCCTGAGAACCAAAATACTTTGAAAGACCCCAAGAGAGCCATGGGGAGCGTTTATCATACAAGCTAAAAGCAGTCCGAGGCCGTTACAGCAGACATCACGCAAGCTAATAACTGACCTGACAGATGCCGCCGAGTATGCCAGCCTGAATGCGACTATCGATGAGTACAAACAATCCAGTGCCGCTTCGCCCATTGGCATTGATGCGGACATTTCGATATATGAGCCCAAGACTAGGAAATCCGGACATCTAGTGAGCGACTGCATCTTGGACATAATTAGTATTGATCGAGACATGGGCATAAGGATGATCGTGTCTTATCAAAAAAAATGGCACGATATCATGGAGCACCCATCAGCAGCGCCATATTCGCGCGATTTTATCCAAATCGCTGGGCGTGACATTGCAGGGGAGCATTACTGTTGCGCTAACTGTCCCAGCCATCATGCGTGGAAGAACCCAGGAGCAGATGCCTCACAGTGGCAGACTTACCAGCTGATCCGATTGGTTCACAAGAAGATGTGTCAAGCGCATCCGACTCACTAAAATCGGCTTCGTTGAAGGCGTCTGAACCGAGCAGCAGTTCTTCTATGCTTCACACAACGAACAAAATAGTTTACACACCACAGTCATCTGCCACTACATTGAAACCACTCCATCCAGTCGCCGCTGCATACGAGTGCGTAGCCTCTTTACCATCAAATGGTTTCAGAGTCACAATTATCTCCGTTCTGAATCGAGGATCAAGAAATAAGTCGCATCGCTAACCAACTAATGAGGTGTACTGTAAAAAAGGCTCTTCGAAATCCAGCCAGATAACACTCTGGTTTGAAGATCTAATACGCCCACGAGAGGCTAGTGTTTAGATCGTATAATTGTACTATGCTGCTACAATTACATCTTAGTAAACGCCTATCTTTGTGTACTTAACATTTCGTTATTTGTTGAGTTTAAACTTGGGTATTGAATCCTGAGATAACGGGGATTTAAGAACTGAACTCAGTGGGGCATTGCATTAGGGTTACGAACTATCCTAGGAGCGCGAGATAACAGCTAAAACTATGCAAGAAACTCGTGCATAATCTATATCTGATGCAAATGACTATAGGAATGGAATAAGACACATTCTATTGTGTTGCAAGATGAATGGTGCACGTTATGTAATAGCAGATGCTGGAGGATTGATGATTGATTGATTGATTGATTTTGTCCTACTCGGTTTCAGCCGTGATCTCCACAGCTATGCCCGGATGACAGGCATGGCAGACAGCCGACGCGATGCGGACGTGAGTCTACAACGCCCCACTTCACTCTCGAAAGAGCCATCTGTCCCCAGAGGCCT